CAGGGAGGGGTGGAGAACACCTCATGATGTGCTTCAGAGCCCCCTCTGCCTGTGCTCCAGGCCAGGCAGCTGCTGCTGGGCTGGGATGTTTAGCAATCACACCATGGGGTTGCTATGGTCACCTGAGTACTCTCCAAGCAGCTGCAGACTTTGCAGCCCACTCAGAGCTGAGAAACTGAGGGTTCGCTGGATTGTTTTGACCACACTTCTGTTGCCCTGGGGTGCAGGTAGCAGTGCCTGGGCACTATGGGACTGGCAGGCTCCTTGGGGTAGCTATCTGAGTATGGCAAGGATCCATGGTGTCTGGATCAGGCCATCTTTACAACCCACTGTGCTGCTGGCCTCTGGCCATCCTGGCCTGTGCTGAAATGACTCATTCTGTGGCTTTTTTCCTACAATCCCAGTTCCACCCATGGCCAGGCCAGCCTCAGCCTGCTTCAGACCTAGCAGTACCCCAGCTTGAGGTGGTCATGGGCCTGCACTGCCCCCCCCACTTACAGGACAGGCCCCCTTGGCACCAGCTCCCTTTCCATCAACAGCATGTCACTTGGGGACAGAAGTGAGGCTGGCAGCTGGAGTTGCAGGAGGAGGAACCTGGGCATGTGCAGGTGAAGAGGTGTGCATATGTATATATGAGAGAGTTGCATGTGTGCATCCATGCATACCCGTGGAGAAGAGTATATATGGAAAGGGGAGTGTGTATGCATGTCTAAGAAGCAGTGCATGCATTTGTGATGTGAGAAATGTACGTGTGTCCCCTTAGGCATGTATGTACAAACATGCTTTGTGAATGTGTCCCCAGAATATGTGTGGAAGCAGCTGCACATGTGTATGTACCACTGCATGCATGTAAGTATGTGGAACTGAATGTGAGTGGGTGTCCATATGCGTTTCTGTGGTCATGCACATACATGTCTTTTTTGCAGGGTGTGCATGCATAGATTACTTCTTGGAAGGGGGAAGGTTTGAATACAGAAGTTAGGGTTTTGTGGCTGTTTGCAGGTGTGCATGTGTGTTTCTCTGGGGTGGAGGGAGAGGAGAGTGTGTGTATCTCTAGGGATACGCATGTGTATGCCCAGTGTCTCCTTGAGTTATCTGAGTGTACACAGGTGCACAGCGTCTCTGTGAACATGTGTGTGTCTGCACATAAATATGTGCATGTTTCTTTTGTGCACATGTACCTGCATATGCATATATACACATTTGTCTCTAGGAGAATGTGTCTGAGTGTCTATGTGTGACAGGGGAAATGGGGGCTGGAACTCAACAGCGGCTTTCCCTCCTGTCCAAGGGGCAGTCTGCCCGGTCTCGCCTGCCATGACTTGCTGTTTAATAAATTCAGTGTAATAAGCAGGAAGCTGCTCATCTTAATGTCCTGATGCCTAGATCAATATACACAGCTCCAACCTCCCCTATACCATGTCCCATGCTTTGCAGATGGCATCCACATTGCTCTAGTGCCTCACACTGTGACCTGAGCTCCAGTGTCTCACATGGGAATCTCACTGCCCACTGGGAGTTTGCAGTCACAGTGCCCTCACACTGGGCAGTTCTTAACTTAAAGATCCAAACTCGGCCTCACCGCATTTGAGGACTTACTGGGGTTTCAGCCTCTGGCCCAACTGTGGCCTCAGTCATCCATGGACTTACCTTGGCCTTTCTGTCCCTTCCTTGGGGCTTCAACTTACGCCCTCCCACTAGGGCCTTTCACTCATGCCCTTATTAGGGTCTCCTTCTTAGATCGTTCTTGTGGGGGGTTGGCCCATGTGCTGCACTTCAGGTCACCCCTTCAACCCTACTCAACATACCCGCGGTGCAGCACTTCAGGCCCTCCTGAGCAGACTGTACTCTACACCCCTCACACAGCACTTCAGGTCGCCACTGTGCACCCTACTCTGTGTGGGCCTCAACACATACTTCTGCCCCCTCTCTCTCAGGCCAAACTACTGCCCCCTCACTGGGCCGCTGTCTCTCGGCCCCCTCATTGGGACCCCCGGGGTCTTATACCCTGTTGGACTCAGGTGCCTCTTCCTAGGTGTGCGTGGCCCCGTGCCTGTCCCTATCACTGGGTAACCCACCAGGGTGTGGGGGATGGGGTTGTAAGGTGCCTTTACCTGCCTTTCACTGGGGAGGCAACTGGTCTGGCATTTCTGGGGAACAACCTGCCATGGGCAGTCCCACCAGGCCATCCTTCCCCAGCAGGGTGTAGTTTTCAGTTGTACCCAGGACCAGGAGCCTCCTTCCATCGCCATAGCTCCTGCCCTTTCCTCCAAGGATGTTCTGAGCAGCAGCTCAGCCAGGTGGTGTTACTTCAGCTGCCAGCAGCAGACTGCTACCTCAGCTCTGAGGGCCTAAGTTAAAATGGAGGCTGCTCCGATAACAAGGCCCTTCTGTGGTCATGTGACCACCTCATCAGGCTGGACTGCACCTGCTGGCTGCCCTGCTGCCTGATCTAAGCTTTAAAGTGCCACACTATGAATGTATATATGTTCCTTGGTAGCTATGTTTGCCTGTGTAAGTATGTGTATATATATATACACAGAGATGTTTATGGATTTGCATATGTGTCTTGGTGGAAGTGTCTGCCTGTGCCTGTGCATGTGTCTTACTGTAGGACGTATGTGGCTGTACATGTTTCTGTTTCAGGTGTGTGCACTGTCTCTGTGTGGAGTTGCATGCATGTGTCTCTAGTTCCAGTGCATGTATGTCTGTGTCTTGGTGGTGTGAGTATGCAGATGTGCATACTAGCATTTGTGGGATGTGTGGGTATTTGTCTTTGTGGAGCTGGTGTGCACAGCATCTCAGGGTACACGTGTACGTGTGTCTGATGGATGTATATACATGTGTCTCTAGGATGTGTGAGTATATACACATGAGCACATATCTCTGGGGGGGTATATGTGTATTGATATGCATGTGAGTTTTTGTGTAAGTGTGTATATATGCATAGGTCTGCAAGCATGGGTAAGCATGGTGCCAGGGTAAGCATGTGTGGAGGTGTATGTGTGCTTATGGAGGCATTTGTGCATGTGAACGTGCACATGTCTATCTGTGCAGGTAAGCAGTGTCTCTGAGAGTCAGAGTGTGCATATATCTTGGGAGACCGGGAGTATAGGCATGCATGTACACCATTGCAGGAAGTTGCAAATGAGTGCAAGAGTGCACATGTTTGTACATGCACGTTTATGTCAGGGCACATGGGTTTGTATGTGTGTGAGGGTACACATATGTGTCTATGGGAGTGTGCAAGTAGGCACTGTCTGTAGTTATATGAGTATTTGCATTTTTGCTTATGTATCTGCAGGGTGTCTGCGTATGCATTTGTATGCACATGTATCTATTGGGGTGTGTGTAGGTGTGCATATATGTGTCTGGGAACTTGTGTGTATGCTTGCACATCCATGCCTGTGGCTATATGTATATGTGTACTTGGGTCTCTATGAAAGGCATGAGGTCACAAATGTGTGCATGCATGCGGATGTGCACAGTATCTCTGTGGAGTATGCACAAGTATGCATATATGTGTGTCTCTGGGTGTAGATATGGATGTACACCTATGAGTTCAGTATGTGCCATGTTTCTGTGGGTATGTGAATATGCAGATGTGAGGATGGGTGACTGAATGCATGTGCAGATATAAGAGTGTGTGTAGGCATTCACACGCATCTCTGTAGGGGACTGCGTGTGTGCATGTGTGTCTCAAGATGTATAAGCACATGTGCATATGTACCTGGGGACAGACTCTGGTCTGCCGTACACACAGACATCAGCCTAGCTGTTGTGGGTATTGCTGTAGCTGCTGATTTACTCTTTGGCTCCAACCCTGACAGAGAATGCTGCCATGCTTGCCTGAAGCCATGTCACTGAGGATGGGGTGGGGGGTGTCTCTTAGCTCAGCTCAGCCTAATCTAGCCCAGCCCTGAGTCTCACACTTACCCCTACACACACATCTTGCATCTCCTGCAGCATTTCCTCCAGCCCTTGTCTCCCTGACCACCACCCTGAGCTGCGGGAGGGCGGTGCATGTTTCTTTCTCTATAAACTCTAGCCAGGCTGAGTCATTTCTTGGCCAGGCTGACCTGTCTCTATAAAATAACCCTTCTCAGGGCTCAGCTGCCTGTGCAGCCCCAGCCTCGAGGCTGCTCCCCTCTGCTATGCAGCCAGCACCCGCTTGGACACCATGAGGCTGCCCCTGCTGCTCCTCGGTGAGTACCAGCTGCACTGGGGCCATGGAATAGCACCAGGAAAAGGCCAGCCTCTTCTCAGTATAATCGTCTCAGTTCAGACCCTGCCTGAGCACTCGGTCCTGATGGTCCCTGCGCATGGGACCAGGGCACACTAAGCATACTGGCCACAGGATACAGAGTGCTTGCTGTTGGGGGCACTCACCTCTGCAGGATACTGTCAGTGCTGGGCAGCTGGCACTGAACTCTGAGTAATCAATGCTCTCTGCTGGACAGGGGACACAGCACTGCAAGAGGGAGGAGGGGCTGGCAATGGATGGGAGGTGCTTGACTCTGCATAGGTTTTTGAAAAGGGACAGGGAGCACCAAGCACAGCAGCAGAGAGTTAACATTGGGCAGGGAGTCCTGGGCACTGTGTAGGGCAGTGGTTCTCAAGCAGGGCACCACAACACCCTGGAATGCCTTGAAACCCTTTCAAAGGGTGCCATGGTGTTAGCATTGTTAAGCGTGCAAACAACATGCACAAGATAAACCCAGAGATTTCAAATAGGAATTTATAGTGTTAAAAACATTCTGACCAGTTGGTGTCTTCCTGCAACTGAAACTTATTTACACAGAAGAATTGCTCTATTATTTTTCTGTAGTCAAACTGAGTGAAAATTAAGTCCAGGCATTTTCTGAGGGGTTCTTTGAGTCTAAAAAGGTTGAGAATCACTGTGTAGGGCAGGGGTAGTCAACCTGCAGCAGGGGTGCCACAAGTGGCAGGCAGCAGATTGGGTAGAAGCAAAAAGAATCAGATCACACAGGAAGCAGAAAACAGGCAGGGAGCACAGGGCAGGAAACAAAAAGCACAGCAGCATCTTGGATAGGAAGCACAGGGCAGAGAGCAGAAAGCTGAGTGCCAGATCAGCTAAGGGAAAGCAATTAGTGGCGCTCAGGAGGGTGCTGGGCAAAAAGGTTAGCGTTTGCTGGTGTAAGGGATGCTTTACAATGGGCAGGGGGAACTAAGTACTGCAGGGAGTGTTCCACATGAGGGGCCACTCATGTCCCAGCTGCCGGAGGCAATGGGAAAGATCCTGTGGAAACCAAGGTAAGTCCCAGCACCCCAGGGTGCACTCCTTTTGCTCACAGCACAGCACCCTCTGCACAGGCCATGTTTGAGAGGACGGCATCACCAGCTGGTCTCCAGCCACAGGTGTGGCCCGCAGCCAGCAGAGCAGTGGGGGAGCAGAGACAATTGATTGAGCAGACACCTTTTAGACTGCCAGACAGATTGAAACAGCTCCAGTAGGAGGACAGAGCAGAGGGCTCAGAGCTCAGGAGAGCCAAGAAAGAGATAAGAATAGAGCTGGGAGTCCTGGGTTCTATCTTTGCCCTGGGCGGTGAGCAGCGTATGATGTTTCCAAAGAGATGGGATCCAATGACGAAGCGAAGGAAGAGCATCTTAGCAGACAGACTTGCTAACCTAGTGAGGAGGGCTTTCAACTAGGTTCACAGGGGGATGGAGACCAAAGCCCTAAGGTAAGTGGGCGACCTGAAGGAGGGGACAAAAGGGAGGCCTCCTCATTCTTCCAGAGAAAGTAGAGCAATCAGCTAGTTCAGGGGTTTTCAACCTTTTTTAATAAGTGTACCCCTGGCAGCCAGGCAGAGCAAGGCGGGGTGGTGGTGGCATGTGACTGAATGCGGTGGGGAGGGCAGCGCATGGCCAGATGTGGAGCAGTGGCAACATGGCGTGGGGGGTGGCGGTGGCTGCATGCGAACTCTTCCCCCACAGCATCTGGCCGGCCAAGCGGCACCTGTGCGGCCTGCAGAGGGGTGCTGCTACCCTCGTGCCCCCTTGCCCCCCCAGCCCTGCTGCGAGGCAACAGTGTACCATCCCTGCCCACCCGCGCATACCCCCTAGGGCCTTCCCAGTACCCCCTAGCTCAGGGTTAACAGCCTCTGAGCTAATTACCTCCAGTGCCTGTATGCGGGTGCATGGAGCCTGGAAAACAAGCAGAAAGAATTGGAAGCCCTTGCACAGTTAAGGAACTATGATGTGATTGAAATAACAGAGACTTGGTGAGAGCTTGCATGACTGGAGTGCTGTCATGGATGGATACAAACTGCTCAAGAGGACAGGCCAGGGAGAAGAGGAGGAGTTGGACTGTGCATAAAAGAGCTGTACCAGGAGGATGAGGTAGATGAGGCTTTCTTCAGACAACTAGCAGAAGTTTTCACATCACAGACCCTAGGTCTCATGGGGGACTTCAATCACCTTGAAATCTGCTGAGAGGTTAGTGCACAGGCAATCTGACATCTTTGGAGAGTGTTGGGGACAAATTTCCTGGTCAAAGTGTTGGAGAAACCAACTAAGGGCTGTTCTGTTCTTGACCTGCTTGCTCACAAACGGAAGAATCAGTGGGGGATGTAGAAGTGGATGGCAACTTGGGCACCAGTGACCACAAGATGATCACATTTAGGATCCCGAGGAAAGGAAGGAAGGAGAACAGCAGAGTATGGACCCTGTACTTCAGAAAATCAGACTTTGACTCCCTCAGGAAATTGATGGGCAGGTTCTCCTGGGAGGCCAGTCAGAGGGGGAAAGGAGTCCAGGAGAGCTACTTGTATTTAAAGAAACCTTACTGAGGGTGCAGGAACAAACCATCCCAATGTGCAGGAAGAATAGCAAATATGGCAGGCATCCCGCTTGGCTTAGCAGATGAACTTAAACACAAAAAGGAAGTTTACAAGAAGTGGAAGCTTGGACAGATGACTAGGGAGGAGTATAAAAATACGGCTCAGGCATGCAGGGATGAAATCAGGAAGGCCAAAGCACAATTGGAGTTGCAGCTAGAAAGGGACATGAAGGGTAACAAGAAGGGTTTCTACAAGTATGTTAGCAACAAAAGGAAGGTCAGGGAAAGTGTGGGTCCCTTAATGAATGGGCAAGACAACCTAGAGCCAGATGAGGAGGAAAAGGCTGAAATACTCGATGCCATTTTTACCTTGGTCTTCACAGGCAAGGTTCCAGACTAGCACAGTTACTGTACCAGGAAGCACAGTTTGTGGGGAAGGTGAGCAGCCCTCAATGGTGAAAGAACAGGTTCAGGACTATTTAGAAAAGCTGGACATAAACAAATCCATGGGGCTGGATACAACGCATCCAATGGGTGCTAAGCGAGTTGGCTGATGTGATTGCTGGTCATTATCTTTGAAAATTCATGGCAATTGAGGAAGGTCCCAAATGAGGAAGGTCCCAGGCCTAGTGTCAGTGAGGATCCAGTCAGGGAACTTCTGGAGGGACTGGACGTATTTAAATCAGCTGGTCCTGACGATCTCCACCCCAGAGTGCTGAGGGAATTGGCAGAGGTCATTGTGGGATCCCTGGCACGGCTTTACGAGCACTCGTGGTGCTCTGGTGTCGTGGCAGATGACTGGAAAAGGGCCAATGTGGTTCCCATTTTCAAAAAAGGGAGGAAGGAGGACCCAGGAAAATATAGGCCAGTTAGTCTTACCTCGATCCTGGGTAAGCTTTTTGAGAGAATTATCCTGGCGCATGTCCACGAGGGGCCAGCGGGGGAGGTTATGCTTAGGGGCAACCAGCATGGGTTCGTTAGAGGCAGGTCCTGTCAGACCAACCTGGTGGCCTTCTATGACCAGCTCACAAAATCCTTAGACGCAGGGGTCGCTAACTGGCTGGAGGGCTGCACCCAGAGAGTGGTGGTGGACGGGTCTTATTCAACCTGGAGGGATGTGGGCAGTGGGGTCCACCAGGGCTTGGTCCTCAGGCCTGCACTGTTCAACATCTTCATTATTAACTTGGACAAGGGTGTAAAAAGCACCCTGTTCAGACGACACTAAGGTGTAGGGGGAAGTGGGCACGCTAGAAGGGAGGAATTGGCTGCAATCGGACCTAGACAAGTTACAGGGGTGGGCAGATGAGAACAGGATGGGTTTCAACACTGACAAGTGCAAGGTGCTGCACCTGGGGAGGAAGAACCAGCAGCATACCTACAGGCTGGGGAACTCCCTTCTCGCCAGTGCAGAGGCAGAAAAGGATCTTGGTGTCATTATTGATTCCAAAATAAACATGGTCCGGCAGTGTGGGGACGCGGTCAGGAAGGCCAACCACACCTTGTCATGCATCCATAGATGCATCTCAAGCAGGTCCAAGGAGGTGATCCTCCCCCTCTATGCGACACTGGTCAGGCCGCAGTTGGAGTACTGCATCCAGTTCTTGGCGCCGGACTTCAGGAGGGATGTGGACAACTTGGAGTGGGTCCAGAGGAGGGCCACTCGCATGATCAGGGGTCAGCAGGGCAGGCCCTATGAGGAGAGGCTAAGGGACCTGAACCTGTTCAGCCTCCATAAGAGAAGGCTGAGGGGGGATCTAGTGGCCTGTTACATACTAGTCAGAGGTGACCAGCAGGCATTGGGGGAGTCCCTGTACCTTCGAGCACTACCAGGATTGAGTAGAAATAATGGTCACAAGCTGGCAGAGGGTAGATTCAGACTGGACATCAGGAGGTGCTACTTCACAGTCAGGGCAGCTAGGATCTGGAACCAACTTCCGAGCGAAGTGGAGCTGGCTCCTACCCTGGGGGTCTTTAAGAGGAGGTTAGACGAACACCTTGCTGGGGTTGTTTGACCCCAGTAGTTTTTCCTGCCATGGCAGGGGGTAGGACTTGATGATCTGCTCAGGTCCCTTCCGACCCTACCAACTATGAAACTATGAAACAACTATGATTGGAAAAGGGCAAATATACTGCCTATCTTTAAGAAAAGGAAGGAGGATCCAGGGAATTACAGACCGATCAGCCTTGCCCCAGTCCCTGGAAAAATCATGGAGAAGGTCCTCAAGCAATCCATTTCTAAGCTTGTGTAGGAAAAGAAAGTGACCAGGAACAGTCAGCATGGATTCACCAAGGGCAAGTCATGCCTGATAAACCTGATTCCCTTCTATGATGAGATAACTGGCTCTATAGATGTGGGAAAAGCAGTGGATGTGATATACCTTGACTTTAGCAAGGTTTTTGATGTGTCTCCCACAGCATTCTTGCAAGCAAGCTGGTGAAGTATGGGTTGAATGGACTGTAAGGTGGATAGAAAGCTGGTGAAGTATTGGATGAATGGACTGTAAGGTGGATAGAAAGCTGGCTGGATCATTAGGCTCAATGGGCAGTGACCAATGGTGCGAGGTCTAGTTGGTAGGTGGTATCAAGTGGAGTGCCCCAGGTGTTGATCCTGGGGCCAGTTGATGGGATGGATTGCACCCTCAGCAAGTTTGCAAACAACACCAAGCTGGTTGAGTAGTAGATAAGCTGGAAGGCAGGGCTAGGATTCAGAGTGACCTAGACAGATTTGGAGGATTGGGCCAAAAGAAATCTCCTGAGGTTCATCAAGGACAAGTGCTAAGTCCTGTACTTAGGATAGAACAATCCCAGTCACCGCTACAGGCTTGAGACTAACTGGCTAAGCAGCAGCTCTGCAGACAAGTACCTGGGGGTTACAGTGGGCAGTAAGTGAATATGAGTCAACAGTGTACCCTTGTTGCCAAGAAGGCTTACAGCATGCAGGGCTGCATTATTAGGAGTGTTACCAGCATATCAAGGGAAGTAATTGTTCCCTTTTATTCTGCACTGGTAAGGCCACACCTGGAGTACTGTGTCCAGTTTTGGGCTCCCCACTACAGAAAGGATGTGAACAAATTAGAGAGAGTCCAGTGGAGGACAATGAAAATGGTTAGGGGGTGGGGCACATGACTTTTGAGGGGAGACTGAGGGAACTGTGCTTATTTAGCCTTCAGAAGAGAAGACTGAGGGGGGATTTGATAGCCTTTACCTACCTGAAGGGTGGTTCCAATGAGGATGGAGCTAAACTGTTCTCAGTGGTGTCAAGATGTCAGAACAAGGAGCAATGGTCTGAAGTTGCAGCAAGAGGTTTAGGCTGGATATTAGATAAATCTTTCTTACTGTAACGGTGGTGAAGCAGTTGACCAGGTTACCAGAAGAAGTGGTGGAATCTCAATCCTTGGAGGTTTTAAAGGCCTGGCTTGACAAAGCCTTGGTTGGGATGATCTGGTTGGGGAGGGTCCTGCTTTGAGCAGGGAGTTGGACTAAATGACCTCCTAAGGTCTCTTCCAACCCTAATTTTCAATGATTCTATGTTAGAGTGAGATGCCACTAGGAAGAGAGGAGCCAGGAAATGGCATTTTTATGCTTTGGGATAGCATAGTGAAGTTTGTCATGGTTCAGAGCTGGCAGCATCAGGGCTGTGTGGGGAAGTGGGTGAGAGCTCTGCTCATATGCTGTGCTCTTGTTTTGCAGCTGGCTTTCTGGTGCTTCACAGCTCAGGTAAGCATGTCGGAAGGTGTCCACCTGGAGCTTGTGACCTGCCCAGATGTCTAGGCTTGCTGTGCCAGAGAAGTCACACCTTTGGCCAGGCCTGTGAACCCTCTCCCCATTAAGTTTTTTTTTTTTCTTTTTAAGGAAAATTTTTCTTGTCCCAGGTCAAATTAGCCAGATCAGGTCCAAATCCACTTGAATCATTCAGGAACTATATGGGGCCCTGCTACCAGCAAGTATCTTCCACCCCAGCCCGGGCTGCAGATACTTCCAAATCCTTTGGCAGGCATCCTACATGCAGGCCCAAGCCTGGAGGCTTGGATTTCAGATGCCCCCGAGTTTCACCTGCCCTCAGCCATATGGCTGCAGGAGCAAGCTAGGGAAGAGTCTCCCATTTCCATAAAGTCAGTGTGTAGCTGAGATCCTCCCACTGGAAGCTGGCCAGTGGGAAGCTAACTATGAGGATCTTGTAGATAGTCCTGTCCGTGAGCAGACAAGGGTGCAACCCTCTACTACACAGTACCATTTTAATTGCATTGCCTCGGTCAGGGTATTTCCCCTGCCACCATCATGGTCATGGTATTTCCCCTGCCAGGTAAGTATCATGGGACTTCCCCTGCCAGTCCGTGCCCTATCAAGGGTGGCTGCTAGCACAGGGATGTGGGCCAGGTCCCTGGCCTGGAGCACACCTACTGGCATAAGGTTGAGGTGCAGCCCTGGCCTGTCTGTCCCTAGCATTGTCCATCCTTCTCACTGTCTGTCCCTAGCACTGTCCCTATGTCACTCTGTCCCTGTCCATTACTGTCCTTGTCAGTCCAGCCCTGGCATTTTCCCTCTGACTGTCGCTTTCCACACCTGTGAACCTGCTCCCTTCTCTGCCTTGCTCTCACTCCCTGGAGTGTCACTGTGACAGTAGTCATTGGCTGGACAGTGCTCCCCCCATCCCCTGCCCCAGTGTTGCCATGTAAAAGCTGTCTATGTCCCAGTCTCCCCAAAGCCCTGAAATGAGAAGGCCCACCAGAGGGGCTCCTGGCCTCCACTGCCTACTGCCAAGCTACTCTATAAGGTACTGGTGTGATGGTACCAGGAGGGTTTAGGCTGCCAGTGCAGTCTTCCCTGGCATAGCATTACCCTCTCCAGTGCATTGCCTTCCCTGCATGCTTTGGGCTCACATCTCTGGGGCTGGTTGCTGTACTGTGTCTCATGGCATACTGGGGCAGTGCCTGCTGCAGCTCAGACCCAACCAGCACCCAAGTGTGTATATCCAAAATGAGCATACCCCAGTCCCTTTGAGAAACTGAGCCAGGGCAGCCTGGGACTGCTCAGAGGAGGCATGTCCTGTCCTGAGGAGGTCTGTCCCTGCTTCCCCCATAGCCATCACACTAGGAACCACTGGACCTTTGCCTGTGATGGGCCCCAGGGGAAAGCTCTAAGGGGAAGTGGAGCCTTGGGCAAGGCCCTGTCTGGTGGTGAGACTCCAGGAGGGTTTCATGGGGCATTGGAGCCCTGGGTGAGGGGAGAAACCTAACTGTAGCATCCCCAAGGGGTTTGGGGCCCTAAGGAAAGTTTGGGGGGTGGGGGGTTCTGACAAGCTCTGCTGCTCGTTCAGGCCCGTTCCAGGTGCGCCTAGCTGGGGGCCCCAGCCAGTGTGCTGGCCGCGTGGAGCTGAACTACAAGGGACGATGGGGCTCGGTATGTGATGATGACTGGGACATGCTGGATGCCACTGTGGTGTGCAGGCAGCTGGGCTGTGGCACTGCGCTCTCTGCACCGCTAGGGGCCTGGTTTGGGGAGGGCACTGGTCCCATCTGGCTCAACGAGGTGCGATGCCAGGGAACGGAGCGGCATCTGCAGCACTGCCAGCACCGTGGCTGGCGCCAGCATATCTGTACCCACGAGGAGGATGCGAGTGCTGTCTGCTCAGGTGAGGCCACTGCCACCCCTGAGGGGGGGCGGGGGGGGGGGGGGGGGGGGGGGGGGGAACTAGAGCGGCTGGAGCCCAGAAGAGGGGCCCCTCTGATCCAAGGCAGTCAGGCATGTGAGGTCAGTATGCAGGGGCCAGAGCCACGCATGGTGAGATTCCTCCAGAGGAGATGGGCTTCTAGCACGAGCGGGTGACAGTGTGCAGTGTCAACAGGCCTTGGCCTTTGACTGCAGGAATCTGCCCTTAGTCTACCCAGGATATGATTCTGCTCCACCTCAATCCTTTCCCCACGTTGCTTCTGGCCCACCCCTCCTCCCCCAGCCCTGTGCCCTGCAGCCTCCACATGCCTGATATCTGTAGGTCATGATGGGAGGGAGGGCAGGACAGTGGGGCAGACAGTCAGAATGAGCTTCCCCCTGTGCCCCACCCTGAGCAGGCAGGAATTCCCACTGGGGCTGGCATTTCTCCAGTTGCAGCCCAGCAACTGCGGTCCTGCCCTGCCCAACACTGTCCAGGCACCCTGGGAGCTAGCAGAATCCCATTAGCAGGGAAGGTGGGAGTAGGCTGCATCTGGACATGCCTTGAGGGAGCAACATGCAGGCAATGCGACTGCTCCCAGCCCCACATGCCCCAGTAGCCCATGTCTGACCTTACTGTGCTCCACAGCTCATCGCTTCCTGCCTGTAACAACTGCAGTCCCCTCCTCTGGTCCAGCCCACCAGGACCACCACCCAGCTAGGACCAGGGCCCTTCCACAGCCAACCACAAGCCCACATGGTGAGTACAAGCGGGTCCCATCCCTGCACTGTTGGGGACACCCCTGAGACCTAAAAACCATGTCAGCTCTGCCAAGGCTTTTCCTGATCTATGACATAACCCTATCTTTGCTCTCAATTCCCCATTAGTGCTTGAGCATGTTCACCCTTGGACCACTCCATTCTCCTGAATGAGGCTTCAGCACCCCTCACCCCACTCTCTGTAGAGCATGACACCCACATGGTAGATGGGCTGGGAGTCTGGAGAGTGAAAACCACTGCGGTGCCCCTGCTGGCTCAGTCAGTCAAAACTGTGAGGCCAGAGTAGGCAGGCTCCCTAGTGTGGCAGGGATCGAACACAGGCCCCTGCCTTTTTGGTGACCCCAACTTTGCTTCTGCAGGTGGCGTGGCCCTGCGGTTGGTGGAGGGTCCTCACCGGTGTGCAGGGAGGCTAGAGGTGCTGCATCAAGGCCAGTGGGGCACAGTGTGTGACGATGACTGGGGCCTGAAGGACGGTGCTGTGGTTTGTCGGGAGCTGGGCTGTGGTGTGGTGCAGGCCACTCCCGGAGGCTCTCATTTTGGCTCTGGGATCGGCCCCATCTGGCTGGATGATGTGGGTTGCAGTGGAAAGGAGTCATTGCTGAGACAGTGCCAGGCACAGCCCTGGGGCCAAAGCAACTGCAACCACAGCGAAGATGCAGGAGTCATCTGCACAGGTAGTGGGCCTGGTGGGAAAACAGGCGGGTGAGAAATGTTAAGGGGATTAAAAACAAAGCAGAAAATGTCACCATGCCACTGTGTAAATGCAGGGTGTGCCCGCACCTTGGATACTGTGTGCAGCTGCGGTGTCCCCCCCCCCCAAAGATAGAGAAGAGGCATAAAAGGTCCAGAGAAGGACAACAAGGATGATCAGGGGCACGGAGACACTTGTGTTCATGGAGGGACTGGATAGGTTAGGACTTTTCAGCTTAGAAAGAAGATGACTGAGGGGATATGACAGAGGTCTCTGAAATCATGAATACTGGGCGTATCTACATGAGACACTTTTAGACTAATCTAATGCACAGTAAAACGTCACCATCTACATGTGCACAGCAATTACTGCATATTAGATTAGTTTAATGTGTCGTTTGCTAGTACCAATACATGCAGATACTAGAAAAATGGCGCATTAAGCTAATGTGCATTAGTGCATGTGCATAGGCTGACCGGGAGCAAATTGTTCCCAGTCAGTCTTGGCAGCAGGGGGCCACACTGCTGCCTGGCTAAGTCCCAAGATCCAGGGGGCAGGGGGAAACTCTCCCTAGCTCTAGGGACAGCTCCCAGCCATGCAGAGCTTAGGGTCAGCTGCAGCTGGTGCTTGTGGGAGAAGTACATGCAGATCTGAGCCAGCAGCTGGAGAGGTGAGGCCCATGGTGCCTGTGCCGTACCCACCTTTCCTTCCCCCTGGAGCTGCAACTTTCTTCAGGAGCTACAATTGCAGTGTTAGTGGGGCCCAGAGCTTCCCCATGGTGTGTCCTGTAGCCCAGAGAGAGGCACTGGAGTACAGGGCAGCAGAATCCAGCAAGCTGGGAACTGCCCTTGTGCCACTGAGCAGCTGATCCTGTCCCCTGCTGGGCTGTCCGGGCCCCTATTCCCCTTCAGTACCTGGTGTAACAGCAGAGCCTGGCCCGGCCTGTTACCAACCATGTCTAGTTCTGGGGCTTTTGCAGAGCAGGGGTCTGCGTTGGCATGCCTCCAGGCCTACCACCCCCTGTGCAGTTACCATGCTAGTGTGGGGCTGTACCCAGTGCACCTGCAGAGCTCTCGGCAAGGGGCAGGCAAGCACCTGTGTGCCCAGCCCTTGCATCCTGGTGCCTGCCTGCTTCTTGCTTTCTGCCTTGGGTTGTGCAGTAAATTCAGGTGTATTAATTGTACATGTAGACATACCCGCTGTGAAGAAAGTAAATAGGAATTTACTATTTACCATAGAATCACAGAAAGTTAGGGTTGGAAAGGACCTCTGGAGGTCATCTAGTCTAACCCTCTGCTCAAAGCAGGACCATTCCCAACTAGATCATCCCAGCCAAGGCTTTGTCTAGCCCAGTTTTGAAAACCTCTAAGGATGGAGCTTCCACCACCTCTCTGGGTAACCTGTTCCAGTGTTTTACTACCCTTCTAGCAAGAAAATTATTCATAATATCTCCCCTAAACTTCCCTTGCTGCAACTTGAGACCATTGCTCCTTGTTCTGTCATCTGCCACCACTGAAAATAGTCGAGCTCCATCCTCTTTCGAGCCCCCCCCTTCAGGTAGTTGAAAGCAGCTATTAAATCCCCTCTCAGTCTTCTCTTTTCTAGACTGAATAAGCCCAGTTCCCTCAGTCATTCCTCATAAGTCATGTCCTCCAGCCCCCTCACCATTTCTGTTGCCCCCTACCTCTCACAGCAGTGGAGCCAGTGGACCTATGAGCAGGAAGTTATTTTTTCACACAATGTGTAATTACCTCATGGAACCTATTGCTACAGGATGTTTTCGAGGATGACAGTTAAACCAGGCTCAAAAAGCCTGGTTAGACAAATTCATGCAAGATAGGTCCATTGTGTGGCTTATTGTGTTCCTTTCCATCTGTTTTTGTTGTCGTTTGGGGGGGGGGGGGGGGGGGGGGGTGTACTAAACATGATAATAGGCCTGCAGCCTCTAGTTACTACTTTCTAGGCCTCTAAATGCAGGAACCTGTAGGGAAGAGGTGCAGGGGACAAGGCACAGTCTGAAGATGAATCAGCACTCTTATGCTTAGCATCTGCTCTCTGCCACTGAGAGAGACAAGATGCTCACATACCTGCACATCTCACCCTCACATAGAACCCCCACTGCCACCCTTACTGGTGGGGTGCTGATCTCTGCTCTGTGCCTTGTGTGGACTGACCATCTCTCTCTTTACAGGTGGCGCTGTGCTGAGGCTGGTGGGTGGCAGGGGCCACTGTGCCGGGAGACTGGAAGTCTACCATGAGGGTGTCTGGGGCACAGTGTGTGATGACATGTGGGCGCTGCCTGGGGCTGCAGTGGTTTGCCGGGAGCTGGGATGTGGGGACCCGCTATCTGCTCCCGGTGGTGCCTTCTTCGGTGAGGGCCATGGCCCCATCTGGCTGGACAACGTGCGGTGCCAGGGGAACGAGTCTGCACTCAGTCAGTGTCTATCAGCCCCATGGGGGGTACATGACTGCCAGCACGGAGAGGATGCTGCTGTGGTGTGCACAGGTGATCCTGGGGGCTCAGTTTGTGATATGAGATAATTTGTGACATGAGGCAGCAATGTGCACAGGTGTGTCCCTTGCTCTTGGTATGTGTGTGTGTGTGTATGTGCATGTGTTTTGTGTGCCTGGTGTGAGTGGGGAGTGTATAACATGCACATCAATCATTTGCAGATTTCTGGATATGTGTGCAGTGCATGTTTAATACACTGGTTTTATAGTCTGTGTGTACAGATAGTACTTGTAAACTATGTGTACAGCAGTGATTCTCAACTAGGGTGCCATGGCACCATGGGATGCTGCCACTAGATACTTCAATAGTTGACACAAGGTGTGAGAAGATAAGCTAAGTTTGGGGTGATAAGCAGATAATCACAGGCTCTGGCTTGTTCCTGCCTGTCTGATCATCCACCCCCACTGTCTGGTCCCTCTGTCACATGGTAAGCATTGTCGTATATAAATTAGTTTTTGAAATTTGGTGTCACCTAATGCACAAAAGTTATAGAGGGTTGCCTTGAGTCAAATGAGGTTGAGAACTGTTGGAATACAATATATGTGTGTGGGCGGGTCTACATGAAACGTTTACTATGGAGTTGACTAATTGGCTCTGCAGTAAAACATCACTGTGTACATGTGTGGTGCTTTTAGGATGAAGTAAACTAATTAACCACCATGGGATAGTACTGCTGAACACATCTACTGTCCTAGAGTAGAGTTACTTACTCTGTCACAGTGCATGTGTAGACGATGGGGCTGGCTGGGGCACGAGGGTGCTTCAGTGCGGGGGCTAGCTGCCAGCTAACCCCACACCAAAGTACCTTTGTGCCCCAGCCAGCCCCTCTGCAGCCTGTTGAGCCAAGTCGGAGCATCCCCAAGTTAGCAGGCTGACCGCCAGGGCCCCCTGTCAACTGGGGCTGCTCTGCCCTGGTTCAATGTGCTGCGGTCCCAGGCACATGTGCAAACGTGGCGCCTGGAAGCAATACACTCTGGTGCGAACTGCACTGAAGATTATTCAGGCATCTTAATTGCACGTGCATAGGAAATATTTGCCCAGTGTATGTGCAGTGTATAGTCAATGTACATGCTGTGTATGTACATATGCAGTGACTGTGCAGTCTGGCCACACATGGTGCCTGTGCTGTGCCTGTGTAAATATTGTGCAGTACTTGCATAGTGTAAGTCTATACCATGATTGTGCATATGTTTGTACCATGATATGTTTGTACATATACAGTGTATGTACAGCATCTGTGTGCATACAGTACTTGTGCAGTGTGTGTACACTGTGGGCTAAATTCCTTTTCACTCATTATACATCTAACAGCTGATGACATTGTCTGGCTTATGTGACCAGGGAGAGGTAGTTAGCTGTGTTCATTTGAAGTCGGGCAGAAGGCAGGGTAGATTTGCACCTAATAGACTAATTAAATCAGATGTATAGCATAATATTTTGTAAGTTTACTTCATAAGATGCAGTAAAGTGACTGCAGGAAGCAGAGCTTCTAAATAGAAAGCAGTGATTAGAATACAAAGGGTAGGGAAATGGGGAGAAAAAAGGTGAGGGTGCTGCTGAGAGGCAAGGTGGGTAAGGGAAGAAAAACAAAGCAGAAAAGCCACTGAAGGACATAAGGCTTATAAAAGCTAATTCACGTAATGGGATAAGAATCCATAGTCTTGGTGTAGACCATACTTAACACAATCCAATCTGGATTATTTCTTCTGTTATTTTTTTTCCATTTATTTTTAAAGTTTCCTTATCTAAGGACAGCCACTCTGGGGCCAGCGATGAAATGTCCAGGGAGATAAAAGAGGCTTTTCTGTCTTTATGGTACTGATGTCAGATCGGTGTCCATGGGCAGATCTAGAATTTTGAAAAGGCAGGTACTGCTGGTGAGGTGCATCATCACATACAAAACAACACACATTTTTCCCCAGTTAAAAATAAACTAGAAGCTTTACTAATATGTTAGGGATCTAGGGCTGTATTATTCAGTTTAATATTGAAGTAAAAACAAATATAATTTTTATTGGAATAAGTTAAAAACAATCTGCAGGGCTCTGAAATAGGAGGTTCAGGACCAGGAGCAGCTAGCAGACAGCAGCATTGCAAAGCAAAGGATACCTTGATTGGTGGAACATTAAGACAATTAAAAAGAAGAGAGGGTCATTAGCACCTGTAGAAGGAAGAGTTTAGGAGGGATCAGGTACATAACAATGAGCCTTGAAGTATTTTGAATCCCTCACTGCTGCCTGACTAGAAATGCCACTGCTATTGCCAGGCAGTTGGTTTTAAACTGTGGGTGGAACAGGAATCACAGGTAGATGCCACCCTCCTTGGGTCCCTCCCTGCCCTGTTATGTAGGGATCACCCTGTCTGTCCAATGTAGACAGCAGGGAGCTCTGTAAGCAGGTGATGATTTATATGACACTGGTAGAGGTGTGGGTAAATCAGGGGTGGGCCCAAGGGCTACATTTGGAGTTCTGATGGGCTGTTGTGAGCCAGGTCAGCACCCCCACCCCCTCATGCAACAAGTCACCAATACGCCTGCTTTGGGCAGGTGGGGAGCAGTGTTCAGGAATGGGACAGGCACGATCTGCTCCCTGTACACCCTGCCCTGGGGGTAGGGAAGTGTGTGTGTGTGGCTGCCTGGGAGCCATCCGGGGGTGGGGGGAGGCAGGGGGCACGTGCAGCAGAGCTTGCCCAGTCCGTGGCTGCCCCTGAAGCACTCTGCATAGAGCCAAGCCCCACTGAGGCTAGCCCTCACTGTGCTCCCACCTGTACCCGCTGGCCTCGGCCCTGGCCAGCATACAGTTTCTGGTGGGGCTGTTCCCAGTACAGCTGCACCCAGCTGGGTGCTACTCTGCTCCCCTTGACTCCAGCAGTGGCTCTTCCTCTTGCTTTTGCCATAACTGCACTGCTGTGGGCAGGGGGAAGCTTCAGCCCAGTGTCTCCTACTGAAGGCGAGGGGACCAGAGCAACAATCGGTCAGCTGCAGCCGCACTGGGAACAGCTCTGCCAGAAGCTGCACGCTGACTAGGGCCCTGGCTGGCAGGAGTGCGGTGCGGGTTGCCCTGGTGGGAGTGGGTGGGGCTCGGCCCCATGCAGAGTGCCGCAGGGGATGCTGCGGGCTGGATCAATTCAGTTGGAGGTCTGGGTCCAGCCCACAGGCTGTATTTTGCCCACCCCTGACGTAAATGAACCTCTGATATCATCACTGGATCAAATGATAATGTTATGGGCTGTGTTCATGAGGGGGCAAAGCTGGCATCTGGGACTGGAGCAAGTCCTGGTGCCTCGGTGAGAATGGGAGTTATGTAGCCTGTTGTTGGAGAGAGACTGAGGTTGGGGGGCTTCTCATAAGATACAGCAGGCTTGTCTCCCATGGCTACCTTGAGATAGTTGTCATTTTCCAGGACCAGGGTCAGACAGGCATTCTGCTGCATCTGTGTAGATGTGCAGGTCTCCTGTTCTTTTACTGGGAGCTAATACCCCACTCCAGTGCTCCTAGAAGTGAATCCCACCTTGCCCTTCAGGGGCCACATAGCTCTCATTCATTTCAAAGTGCCACACTTTCAGACACTTCTAGAGACGGATCCTCAGTTACACAGGATGCTAACTTGGGTTGGAGGGGGGGGTGGTGAAAAAAACCTGCTGCTGTCACAGCCACACAATCACATCTGTAACACCCCGAAGCTGCCACTGTGTCACAGCTGCCCCAGTCGTGTTGTTACACCTCTGCCTGACATCATAGGCATATGGTCTTAGTCACATTCCTTTTGATCCAACTGGATACGCATTTCCCTGAACAGCTGTCTCTTCCTATTCACAAAAAGATCCTCTGCCATTGGCCCAGTGGCTAGAACACTTGCTAATGATATGGGGTTCTATGGGGCAGATGTGGCAGTGGGCATCTTCCACCCTCCCTCCCCTTGGAGCTAGTGCACTGAACAGCCAAGAGGGAGAGTGACAGAGCAGGAAATCAGACAAAAGGGACCCTGGTTCTGAGGCTCAGATGAAGGCCTTCTCCTGCCCTGGCAGGGGAGGAATCCTGTGTTATGGCTTTTGCTCCCAAAGTTATTCATGCATTTACCCAATGATTCTGGAACGCCAAATTCATCATGGTAATGTAAGACTGATGTTGTAGCCATGATGATCTAGACATTATGTAAAAGACAAGGATTTCTTAGGATGATATCTTTTATTGCATAGTTTGGATAGAGTTGTGCAAGCTTTCAAATGCAAGACGTTCTTCTTCAGGTCTGACCAGAACAAGCCAAATACAGGATATGCAGTTGGTCCAATAAAATATATAACCTTAAGAAATTCATCGTGGACACAGATGCAGAGCTGGAGTCGTGGCATTGTTCTAAATTGTATTTTAGTAAGGGGGCAGAATCTGGCCCAATGGCATTGCCTCACTGCACATGGGAAAGGACTCTGGCCTAAATGGCTCTGCACTGGATGATCTGAAAGCAAATCGATCCCAAATCACTAGTATGCCCATTTCTCCCTCCTGTGTAAACTGGATGCATGGTGAGAAGTATTATTTCAGGAGAGAGGTGCCAGTGGAGAGTCAGCCAGTGTCCCACAAGGCAGGGTGGGTTAATGATAGACTGGAGAGTGCTGAATATTTTCAGGGCCTATGAGAGCAGGGAATGCGGGTACTGTTGTACCAGACCCAAAGCTCTATTTCCTACTTCCAAAATGGGAGATGCCCCCCCACTACTACTGGGATAAACTGGGCCCCTAAATATTTCTTACAGGCCCTGAGTACTGTACACTTGTGGGCTTTCTTTTTCATCAAGGAAAGCTAGAGACCTTGAGTGTTGCTGCAACCAGTCCACCAAAACCTCCTTTTTTTCCCTTTAGACAGAGACACATACTCCTACTGCTTTCGGCAACAGAGCTAGGCCTTGTTTTAGCTGTGCTTCTTCTGCCCCTGGCATGCTTTCCCTCTGGTGGATCTTCAAAAACAGGTGCTCTTAGGTCTGTGGCCTGGGGATTAGAACACTGTCCTGTGCTGTGAGAGGTTAGGGTTCACATCCATGTGTGGGAGCTGGCTCTAAAACCTGGGCCTTTGAGTCTCCCCTGTCCTGAGTAGATGCCCTAACTACCAGGCTAGCATGCAAGGCAGGTGACTTTGGCCCAGTGTCTAACAGTTGTGGGGTTGGGTTGTCTACAGTTTCAGCGATTTCTGTGTGTCCATGATGAAAGTGAATTGTAGTGGATTGTAAATAGACTTAGATACCTCCTGGGCAGCACTGAATCACTTCTAAGCACACGCAGTATGAACAAACTTAGTCATGTAGGGCAGACCTGTAGCTGTGAAGGCATTTAAACATATAGACACAGTTCAGACCACTCCCTGAGGCAATGTAGAAGTTCATGGGGTGGCTTACATGCCTAAAATCTGCATGTTTCGGGGGGGGGCTTATTTGTAGCTGTGTTCCTCTAAGGATATAGGCAGACAAAGGTTATTTGCATAAATGTGATATATGTTATTAGACCAACTGAATAGTTGGAAAAATTGTTCTTTGCAAGCTTTCCAGCACAGGCACCCTTCCTTAGGCATAGGGAGAGTCTGGTGGTCTTTGTCTTCTCTCTAGGGTCCAAATAGAAGCATAAGCCAGGATGCAAAATGCAGGACTGTGAAAAATGCAGTATGTGGCAAGGAAGATTAGAGGAGATAGGAGTTAATAGATATGAGACAGGTCGGTGGGGAGGAAAAAAACAAAAGGGGAATGTCAACAGGTGCTAAAATACAGCTGGGAAAATATACGGGTTACCTGTGGTTATTGGATCAATGCATCTCCAGCAAAACCAAGGAGGTGATTCTTCCACTCTACTCACCACTGGTGAGACTGCAGCTGGAGTACTGCATCCAGTTCTGGGCACCACACTTTAACAAGGACATGGACAAGCTTGAGAGAATCCAAAGAAGAGCCACCCGTATGATCAGAGTCTTGAAAGGCAAGCAATATGAGGAAAGACTGAGGGATCTGGGACTCTTCAGCCTGAAGAAAAGAAGGCTGAGAGGGGACCTGGTAGCAGCTTACCACTACACTAGGGGAGTACATCAAGGACTTGGTGAGCAACTGTTCAGTAGGGCACCTGAGGGGAAAACCAGGAGTAGTTGCCACAAACTCCTGGAAGACTGATTCAGGCTCAACATCAGGAAAAACTTCTTCACAGTCAGGTTGTCCAGACTGGAATAAGCTCCCTCCAGAGGTGGTGCCATGACCTATCCTGGAAGTCTTCAAGAGAAGACTAGACAGTCACCTTGCTGGGGTTACCTGATCCCCAGTTATCTTTCCTGCTTGGTGCAGGGGGCTGGACCCGATGATCTTCCAAGGTCCCTTCCGGCCTTACAATCTATGGATGGCAGACAGGTTATAATGTACATAGATTAGAAGATTTTGAAGATTAGAATTGAGAGATTGGAGAGGGTGGTTATCCTGTGAGAAATGTGCACCCACATGTAATTGGGTATTTTTATTTTTTTATAGATTCTCAATGTGCACTCATTCTGGTATGAAGCTGTTGGTTGGTTTCTCCCAAGTAGAGAACTACATAGGAGAAACCAACAACAACTGCGTACCAAGTACGTAGGAGAAACCAACAACAACTGCGTACCAAAATTAATCCTCAAAGGGAATTTACAAAACACCTTTCATAGACGAGCCTACAAACTTCACTTCATAACTCTACTGGATACAAAAAAATCATGGACTATATATAGACATTGAACTTATGGCACATTATAATCTGTCTGCCATCCGATAACCCTAGGTAACCTCTCTATACTTTCCCAGCTGCATTTTATCACCTGTTGACATTCCCCTCTTTTGTTTCCCCACTCTACAACCTGTCTCATGCCTATTAACTCCTATCCCCTCTGATCTTCCCTGCCACGCATTTGCATTTTCACAGACCTGCTTTTTGCATACTGGCTTAAGCATCTATTCAGACCCTAGCGAGAAGACAAAGACCAGCAGACTCTTCCTATGCCTGAGGAAGGGTGCCTTTACTGGAAAGCTTGCAAAGAACAATTTTTCCAACTATTCAGTTGGCCTAATAAAAGATGTCACATTTACCCAAATAGCCTTGTCTGCCTAAAATAATACTTACGTGTCTTAGCAGTGAAATCGAATCCTGCCCTGTGTCTCCATATGGTGTCTGTGCAATGTGTCTACTGTGTGGGCAGTTTGTTGCCAATCCCTCAGCATCCTAGAGTCTCTTTTTTCCTCCACAGGTGAGCTGGCCCATATGGGGAAACATCCTGCCATGCCTGCAGCCACACAGCCACAAATGAAACAGTCATGGTCCCCGCCCACTGCAGCGCCACGGGTGAAGACACGGGCAAAAGCACGAACCAAGGGAGCCCCACGGACAGGACTGGCCAGTGAGTCAGCAGTGTGGAGAGAATGGGAGAAGCAGACAGGATGGGGTAGAAAAATCCCCCTCCCATTCCCTGCCAGCCCTGTGTGGGCCCTTCACACCCAGCCCACAGCCCAACAACCTCCCTCTCCCACTGTCCTTGGCAGCTTCACAAGCCTCTCCCCAGTCACCTCCTACCCTTCCCCAGGCCTCCTTGGGCCTCATCACTTCCTTAGCCAGGCATAAACTAGCCATTTTTCATCGATCAAGGGATAGAGACCCTTCTGACCTGCTGTCAACCAGCTCCAAGGCTAGGAAATGGGTCATCTAGCCCCAGCCCTCTTTCCTGCCTATGCAGGGGGTCGGACTCGATGATCTATTGAGGTCCCTTCTGACTCTAACATCTATGAATCTGTGAATCTATGAAATCAGAGGGCTGTGAGCTGGGTGTGAGGGGCTCAGAAGCTCAGCTGTGGTTGACAGGCACCTGCAGAACAAAAGAGGAGTTCAGGGCAGGGCTGGCAAGGGGGCTGTGAGACAGGCAAGGGGCAACTGCAGAACCATATGCTGTTTAAACATGTCGGCATAAGAGGCAGTACACCTGTTAGCTGGAAAAGTGCCTTGGTTGCTACTGGGGTTTGTTGGCCTCCACCCCTCCACTGATCTCTAACCCTGTACTGCCCAGCTTGATGCATGGCTTCCTTGTGTTTCAGGGCCAGTCCACTTGCGGCTGTTGGGGGGCCCAGGGCCCTGTGCTGGACGGGTGGAGGTGCTACACACTGGCCGCTGGGGAACAGTGTGTGATGACAGCTGGGACCTAGCTGATGCAACAGTGGTGTGCCGGGAGTTGGGCTGTGGGGCTGCACTGTGGAGTCCTGGGGGTGCACGCTATGGGCCAGGCTCCGGTCCCATCTGGCTGGATGAGGTGAACTGCACTGGGCGGGAGCCAGTACTGCGACGCTGCCATGCTGATCCCTGGGGCCAGCATAACTGCAACCACCATGAGGATGCAAGCGTAATCTGTGCAGGTGGGTTGTCCCCCTGCTCTTGGGTCTCTCTGCTTCAGTGCAGTCTGTGTTAGCTGGATTCTGTCTCCCAAAGTGTGCCCTGGAACCAGCCCTATACACAGCTTCCTGCAGAAGGAGACCCCATGACTGGGTCTCATGTCTTGAGTCTAATGCTCGGGCATAAGACAGCCTTGTATGTCTGTGTGGCCCTCCAGCAAGCCCATTTTGTACCAGTGCAGACCCTGCCTCACTTCTCCTTCCCTGAGTCAAAAAGTGGCTCAGTCATGAAAGTAGCACTAAAGCTCCCACATTTGGTGCAGTCTCTCACTGGCTGCACTCCCTGTCCTCAGTGTGAGGAGCCCAGGCCCCACTCTCCACCTTGGCCCAGCTGGCTCCTGCCCCACATGCTCAGGACTGAGGTAACCGTATCGCCTGAGCAGGGCTCCAGCAGTCCCTCAGAAAGTTTGGAATTGGCTGGGTAGTTCCACATAGGTGAAGAGTTTACACAGCACTGACCCTCCTTACACTGCCCAGGAGTGTTAATATAGGGGTACTGGCTGGAGCAGGGGGCAAAGGAAGGGGCAGAGGCCTTTCCCCCTGGGGCACTAGAAATGGATATGAGCAGTGGCGACCCGTAGGGGGTGCATGGGGGTACATGTACACCCCCTGAGAGCACTGGTGCACTCCCTGTCAGGCAGCACTCCCCGCTTAGGTGATGGGCGGGGGGAAGGCGGGAGCGCCAGTGCCCCCTCTGCAAGCACCGGCCAGGGAGTGGGGGCGCCAGGTGAAGCAGGTACTTCCGGGAGCACCGCTGGCATTTCCAGGAGCGCTGTGGGCACTTCTGGGAGTGCTGTTTGTGCTTCCTGGTTGGCGTGATCAGCTGCGGGGACACCCCCCTGGTCAGTGAGTTTGGCTCGGGGGGGGGGTGCGGTCAGCAAGATTGGCTGCAGGGGGGATCCCCCCTGGTCGCTGACTGGCTGCTGGGGGGCATATGCCCCCCCC